CAGCGTCGATATTGCCCGAAATCGGTTAAAAGTGAAATTTGGATCGGGTGCGGATTTTGACTAGTAGATCTCCCTCTTGATGTATTTTATTTAGTGTCTTCTGGGCTTTTTCTTAATTTATAATTTGGATTTTTCGTGGACCGTTGGATCGACTTCGAGTTTGAACGTGGACCGTTAGATCGCACTCAATTAGGTTGACTCTCTCTCTCTCTCTTCCTATCACGTTTCTCCCCCTCTGCCACGCACTTTTCCCCTTCCTCCCATGGACACGTCCCCTCCCCCTCTGCCCCATGCAGACCTACTCCCCTCTCCTCTCTCTTCTCTCTCTCTCTCTCTCTCTCTCTCCTCCTTTTTCTTCTTCTTCTTCTTCTTTTCTTCGCCCGTGGCTTCTGCTCCTCCCCTTCTTCGCTCGCCTGCCCACCGCCATTCATCCCAGCCGCTGCTTGGCTGTTCGCTCATCCCGTCACCGCCCAACAGCCGCTTGTCTCGTCGCCGTCGCCGTGTCGCCCAGCTCGCCGCCCAGCTCGCTCACCAACCAGCCGGGCCGCACGCCTGCTCGTTCGCCGTCGCCGCTCGCTTGGCCGCTCACCGGCCCCCTGCCCAACTTGCCGTCGCCCAGCTCGCCCGGCCGTGTCGCCTAGCCTGCTGTCTAGGCTGTGGCCGAGCTCACCTGGCCGTTGCCCCAGCCTTGCCCGTGCCGTGCCCAGCCGCTCACCCGTGCGCCTGGCCGTGGCGTGGTCCAGAGCCCCGGGCCGTGGCTAAGGGCTGCGCCGAGCCTGGCCGACCACCTTGCCCGTTGCGCCCGTGCCGTGCCAAGCCCGCCGCTGTTCCACCAGGCCATTTTGGCCCCTTGCCAATTTTCCTTGGGCTAAAACCTAGGTAAGTGACCTCCTAATCCCTACTTAGTACTTTGGGTATTATTAGACTTGTTTAGGGGTTGATGAGGGTTGGTTTAGTGACTAAGTTTGGTATGGATTAGTTAATTGAATGTGATTGGTTTATGGATTATGTGGTGGTGATTTTTGTGGTTAAATTAGTGATTGATTGAGATGGATTCTTTGACCGGGTTGTCGTGGCGTTTGTGGGGGAAATAGATGCTTGAATGTGGCCGACTTGAAGGTCGGGTTGGTGGACTAATGTGGTGAGCATAACTTGAATTTGAATAGTATGACGTGTTATATTGGTATTGGCGAATTGTGTGTGGCGTATGTGCATGAGGAATGTCCTGAGGCGTGGTTACACGAGACTAAGCCTGGATTGATCGGAGGGCTGCCAACTTGAGGCGTGGTTACGCGGGTGTGGCTAGAAAGGCAAGAAATGACCTGAGGTGTGGTTACGCGGGTCGAGAGAAATGTCCTGAGGCGTGGTTACGCGAGACTAAGCTTGGATTGATCGGAGGGCTGCCAACCTGAGGCGTGGTTACACGGGTCGAGAGAAGTGTCCTGAGGCGTGGTTATGCGGGACTGAGCCCGGATTGATCGAAGGGTTGGACCTGAGGCGTGTTGACGCGGGTTGTGGTTAGTTGGTTGGACATGCATGTGAAATGTATTTGGTTGAATTGGGTGAATGTACGTGGTTATAGCGCTCGAGTGTTTATGTTATGTTCTTGAGTTATTATTGCATTATTGTGATATGACTAATGCGCGGAGTTGGCGTGTGACTTGAGGCGAGGTAAGTGTGCATGAGAATTCTATTATGTCGATTGCTAGATTGCATGTTGGGACTCGTCTGGGTATGTATTGGCCTAGGTGGGGTTTACGTTGTCTGCTTATTGAGATTTATTCTCATTGCTGTAATGCAAACCATTTCAGATTCTCGACCCCGACCTTGATCATGCCGCCATTTCGGCGTTTTAGGATCCCTATGCATCCGGTGCATGAGGAGAGCGAGTATCCAGTAGGTCCACATCAGACTTATATTAGGCACTTCACTACGGTCTGGGTAGACGTAGGCCTAGATGACTTGCAGCGTCACATTTACTTGGCCTGATTTTATCGTGACGGGTTGGAGTTAGTTGGCCCAATCCGGGGTTTTGAGGGACAACAGCACGGCAAAGATGATGCCGTGGATTGGGAGCCCGGGAACATGTATGCTCCTGATGGTGAGATTCTGGACCCCGAAGATCCCCCGGAGAACCCTAGTCCCGAACCCGAGCCCGTACCAGAACCTGTAACGCCTGCGGATCTCGAGCTCGAAGAGGAATTTGAGGAGTCCAAACCTGAAGAAGAGCCCAAGCCTGTGCCAGAGCTCATGGAGTCTGAGCCCGAGGAGGAGCCGAGTAACGAGGAAGAGCCGATCGAGATCAACTCTAACACGGAGTCGGAGTCTTCAAGGTCTGATTCAGATTGGGCACCATAGGAGTGTTTGGGTACTGGGCTTAGAAGCTTTTGGTAGAGCCCCTTTTGTATAATCAGCTAGTCTACCTTACCACCTGTCCCTTTTTAATGTTAATGGTGGATGTTAACCCTAGAAGCTTAATGTCTGGTTGTCTGGCTGAATGTTGTAAGTGACTGTTTTCCATTGCTATGAAATTATTGTTTTATGCTGTTATTATCCCTCTGTCATTGTCTATTGTCTGGGTTGTTATATTTCGCATTTGCTTGCGTATTCATGTGGGTATTTCGTTTGGGTCGGCGACGCATCCTGGGACGTCGCGTTTGATACGACCCTCGAGGGGTGTCGCGAGCCCGTTAGGGTCCGGGGCGTGACAATATTGCCCTTTGTAAGTTTCACTTTTTAGTATCCCTCTTTTGCTAATGTTTTAAGAAAGTGTTGTTTCATTTTTTTTTTGTGTCCCTTTTCTTTTATTAATTTTTTATTTCTTTTCTTGTGAATCTCACGTTTATTTTCTTTTCTACATTCTCTTACATGTAACCACTCACAACAATAGAGAAGTAAAGAAATGGAGACTTCCACGCTTGTGTAGGCGAAGGCAACTGAATCAATCCTCATGACCCACGACACATTTTCGAGCCGTTTGAGCGGAGACTCTGCGCCACATGTTTTACGATAGGAAGGGGATGATGTTCATGGAAAGTGGCACATACTAGCGGAGCAAGAGGAGGTTATGCACTCTGCATTTGATGAGGCCGTGATGGAGGAGTAGTTCGCGCCAATGAGGAGAAGGAGCTGGGAAGGGTGATGGGGAGGCTGAGGGCGGCGACCTTGAGGCATACTCTCCCTTATTTAAAACACTTTATCGAAAAACCCTTCGATGCATAAGGGATCAATGAAATTCGCAAAAGGAGCATTACTCACAAACAAATTCTTTTAGCATTTCATTACCTTTTAAAGCCTGACAATCAATTTCCTTGCCTTCTCTTCATGTACTTGTTGAAAATATCCAACAACCAATTCAATAAATTTCCTTGCAGAGATCATGAATTACATTGAGGTTGAGCAAGTCAGATCAGTAACCGCGGAGAGGGAGGTGATTAAGGAGGAGGGCTTCGTCGACGTCTTGGTGGTGAGTTGATGTGGCCCTACTTAGGATATGCAAGGCAGATGGACACGACTTTCATGATTCTCCATTTCAAAAAAAATAAAATAAAATAAAAAAGAGAGAGAATAGAGAGAAGGAAGAAAATTAAGAAAAGTGGATATGGAACCCACAAGAAAAGAAATACGAAATGAAATTTTTAAATAGAAAAGGACAAAAGTTGCTAAAAAGTGAGACTCACAAAGGACAATATTATCATAATACTGTGTTAAGGAGTATTTTAGTTATAGAGGGAGTGAAAAAAGCGTGACCTGAAATTAATTGATACCTTTATTCATTTACTCGGAAATTTCACCTTTGCTCATAGACTTGGCATGAACAAGACAGAATAAGTTATTTGTGTAAAATCTAATGGATATCGCAGTTTCCTTATCTACATGCATCCTTCATTTCTTTTGGGTAAGGGTTTATGAAAATCTTATCATCCATGAAAATGTATCACAAAAAGAATAGTTGGATTATATGCACAAATATACAAAAGGTTACTTTTTTTTCACTCCCTTTATAGTTAAAACACTCATTATCACGTGACCCATTGAATTCCCCTCGGCCCTACTTGCCATCTCCTCTAGCCTAGCAAATGGAGCTGGATGGCCTAGTGGGGCCTTGTGCACCTGATCAAGCAGTTGGCTCGGCTAGATTAGGGCTCGATGGAGTAAAAGTTAAAAAGAGAATTTTTTGATAATTTTACAAGGGACAATTACACAAATATTCTTTGAACTTTGGCCAAATGTGCAATGTCGTCCCTGAACTTTCAATTTGTTCAATGTGGAACATTTAACCCAATGTGCAATGTAGTCCCTGAACTTTTAATTCGTTCAATGTGGTCACCGACTTTTAGTAAATATTCAATCTAGTCCCTAAATTATATGATAAATGTCTAATGTCATCCTTCCATTTATTCAAGTTAAGGGATATATTGAAAAATTTCATATAGTTCAGGGACTAAATTGAATATATACCAAAAGTTGAGGGACCACATTGAACATATTAAAAGTGCAGGGACGTGTACATTAGATTAAAGTTCAGAGATTATATTGAACAAATTAAAAGTTTATGGATCATATATTGCATATTGAGTTAAACTTCGGGGACTATTTATGTCATTTTACCATTTTACAAGCATATGTTAAAAGAGAATCCTCATCCTCCTTGCAAGTCCTCCGCATAATAAAAGTCCCTGCAAAATAGACTGACTATGTGAACTTTTACCGAAACGAGTCTATCGAAAAATTATCTTCTCTTATAGACTGAATGTCACAAGTTTTTCCTTTACAACATGAGATATCATCATTTTACGGTGCTTGTCGATTGCCACTGTTATGTGGACTATGATTTTACATTGGGTATGAATTTATGACTCAAGTCTGCCTCTAGCTTGGACATGAAAGCTGACTTTGGACAAAATCTCTGAGATTCGAATGCCCCATAGAGAAAGTTTGTGTTGCAGCTCATTTCATTATATTCTACGGACATAATATTTTGTTGCAGCTCATACCACGACATCAAACACTGACTGTATAGACATACGTGCGTGTGTATTTGACTCACATGCTGACTAAATTAACATGATATGGGATCAACCATATAAGCCCCTCTAAGCAATTGTTCTGCTGAAAATTGGTAAACCAATAGTCAAGCTAAAACACGGTTTTCATACTTTAAAGTGAACAATTGCTTCATGGCCTGTTTGAAACCTTAAAGTTTTAGAAGAATTGAGCCTTCAAATTTGACCAAGCAGTGGTTGATCTAGACATTCTTTCCTCGGCTATTCTCTTCTTTTCCTCAGCCTCTGCTACTTTCTTCAGCTCATCTTGATAGCCTGACTTCGCTTCTTCAGACTCGATCAGCAAGATCTCCCAGTCCGAGAGAAGCTTGTCCCTCCTAGACTTCACTTCCTCTTCTTCCTTGATGAGGTCATCCATTAACTGCTTATACAAGATGTGAGTCTCGTGGCACTTCTTCATAGTAGAAAACCTTTGATCCTTTTGTACTTTATGCAGCTCGAACTCAGCATTGTGCTGCTCAAACTTTAAGAAGTCGGAAATGAAATCATTGAAATTGGCCCGAAATGTCTCAATTGCTAATTGTTGCTCCGACGTTAATCCGGTTCTGGCTGAGCTTAAAGTTGATAGTGCCTCAGATAGCCTCTCTTTCATATTCAATCTAAAGAGATCTGAAAGGAATTCCTTCAAGGACTGCATAGCCTTCTCAACTTCTTCTAAGCTTGGAATTTCAGCCCTCAAGGCACCATCTTGGTGGCACGAACTTGATCCTACACTAGCACCATTAGTCTCAGCAGCATTGATGAGTACCTCGAGACCAGTAAAATAGGAGTTGAACTTATCAGTTGGTCTAGCTGGCTGAATAATCACTGGAGGAGTAACTGTTAAGACGCAAACTTCGGCTTTAATCACCAAAGTATCATTTGCTATGTATCCCTGCCTAGGATTATGAAGCGAAGTCAATGGCATGAAGCTTGTGAAACCCCAGGTACTCTCGGTCGCAGTGAAATAATGTTGCGTCTCTGCAGAATTCAGGAGACGGGGTGACAAATTCAAACACTTCCTCACAACAGCACCAGAGCTTGATATGTGGAAGAAAAACTGGAGACCCTCGAGAACTAGAAATTTGTATCGTACGTCAAGGAAAATATTAGCAACAGAACAAGCAAACACCTCCCCATGATCAGCATAAGCAACAAAATTCGTACAGAAGTCTATATAAACTGACAGTGCATACCAACCTTAAATTGTGGCTCCTCTCTTTTATCTGGATCGACATTCGGATCAGTTGCTTACAAACTTAACTTAGCTAAATTCCTTAATCAGTAACCTCGGGATTGTTGTGCGCGAATGTTAGAAGCTCACCAACCTTCGAGAGGTTTAACAAATGAATGAAATACAGATTCTCTCTCTCTCAGCTCAATATCTCTCTTTCTATTTCTTCTCACCTAAACTCTTTTTCTCGTTCAAGTCACGACATCGATTTCTCAAAATCTAGATGCACACAATCAACCAGAGAGAAACCCATCATACAAAATAGATTAAAGAAGAACAAGAGATTCCAAGAAAATTAAATCCAGTTCAAGAACGAACCTGTTCTAATAGAGCGAACATTGTTGATTTGATCGATCACACTCAAGCTGAACTTGGTCCACCCGTTTGGCAACGTCCCAGGATCGGGGACATTGAGGTACAGCGCCAAATGGTCCGAGACATGCCCTTTGGGGTATACCAGAATTCTCCTGCTCAAAAGGGATCAAGACGACGACCCAAGAATCACTTGGCAACATGATGAACATGCGATCATCAAGAAACAACGCAAAAGCAGGAAAGTGTACCAAAAAAAAAAATTTGTAAGTACCATTGACAGCCAGAAACTGGGAATGCTTCAGAATAAAGATTACGCGAAATCAGCTGAGTGAAGTTGCTGATCATCCACGTGAATTCTCCCCGATTGACATCACCTTGCGCATCCATTGCTTTTCATTGGGCTGCCACTTCTGCACGATCAACTTTGGGAAAACAACACGGAGGTTTCTTCTTAGCCGACGCTCCCATTGCCAAGAAGAAGGAGAAGGAGAATTTCTTACGTTACAGGGCTGGCTCGGCTGGGTTGGGGCCCCATGGACATGGGCCACAATTCCCCATGTTGCTAGCAAGTTCCAGTCCTTGGGAAGCTCTTCCCTTTTCAGTTAAATTCACACTAATAAATAGGGTTAATTCCGAAAAGACAAACACACAAATTTTACCTTGAGTAACAATTCTAACCCGAACTTTTTTTTTCTCAATAGAAAAGCACAAACTTTCACTCGAGTCTCAAATCTGGCCCCTATGATGTGCAATTTTCAAATTGTTCGGGCCAGATTTGGGATTTAAGGTTTCATTCGTTTCACGCAAAATAACTTTCAGGAAAACTTTTTCTGGGTTTTTCGATGTTCCCTCAATGAACAAAACACCTTCAAGAAAATGTTTTCCACTTTTTGAAAATAGAAAAACATTTTCCCCCTCCATTTCATCATTCGATATAATTATTTTTATTTTATTTTTTAAAATTCTATTTTTTCTTTTTCTTTCTTCTTCTTGGCCATGGCGGTGGCCGACGACCGGCCGCAGGCGAGCTCGAGGCTCGCCTGATCCGGCGAGCTAGGGGAGGCTCGAGCCTTGCCCAGCCCGCCGGATCTAGCGAGGCTCGAGCTTGCATGACCGACCTTAGGCGAGCTCAGCCTTGTCGGATCAGGCGAGGCGGAGCCTCGCCACAGGCCCGTCGTAGGCCACGGCTTGGCCGCCGCCGTGGCCGGCGACCAGCCAAGGAAGAAGAAGAAGGAAAAAAAAAAGAAAAAGAAAAAGAAAGAAAAGAAAAGAAAAGAAAAAATAAAATTAAAATATTTTTAAAAAATAAATATAAAAAATTATTAAAAGTAGTCCAAAGAGGAAAATCTTTTCCATATTGAACAACGGAAAATATTTTCCGAGACTTTTTCAGATTTCAGCCGAACACCGGAAAATTGTGTCATTTTCCATTAAAATGGCTTCGTGGAAAACATTTTCCAAAACTGTAATATTTTTCGAGAAACGAACGGAGTTTAAGTGAAAATTAGTGATTTTTTAAGAGAAAAAAAAGTTTGAGCCAAAATTATCGCTCAAGGTAAAGTTGGTGCCTTTTTTTGGGAATTAGGCACTTCGTTTGCCATTTTTTCCTCAAGGTAATTCACTCTAGCTCATGCTTTAGGTGTTGTTCTCTCTATATCTAGACACTAATCCTCTTGATCTTAATGGTGTAACAAAATCCTGAAGGTTGGAGAAGCTCGAAGATTCCAGGAAATCCAAGACGTCTATGGATCGAGGACAATTAGTGCGGCGTCCAAGTAAGGATTCAAAACCCTCTCTAACTGAAAGTAGCGTTCTATAATGCTAGAATTAGAATTAAATGAATATAGTCGTTGCTCTGCTGGATTCAAAATAGGATTTTTATTGATGAATCCATAGAATTTGTTACTCGAAGGATCCATTGAATATGTTAATTTTGAAACCAAGTATCTCCAATTTTTCAAAACCCTTTCCCGAAACCCACTTTGGGTGCGTTTGATTTAGCATTTTGAAAGCCTTTTGGGGTCTGAAAGCCCCTTAGAAAAAAATTGGGGTGTTTGGCAACCATTCCCCAAGGGGCTTTGGGATAAAAGTGAGGAGGGGAGTTAACTGATTGGTTGATGTCGATTGCGATCGTACCTTAGGTCCTTTGAGATCGCTATTTGTGTCTTTACTTGATTGATGCTCTTCCATTATTTCCCTTGGAAGAACCGGTCAAATTAATTAGGCCTATCCCATTTTCCTTCAAAAAGTTGTGTGCAAACTGTGACATTTTTTTTGCAGTTATCTTGGATTTAAGATAATTGTTCCATTAGATTGTAAAAGGCTTGTGGTTACTGGATTTGCATCAGAATGGGACACTTTCACAGAATAATTTTGAAGTTGCTGTACATCTGGCACATGAGAAGAAGATGGCACAGCCAATTCATCGTAGAGTTATTGTCGATAAGCCCAAGGAGGAGGATTACTTCTATGCAAATCCTCTGGAGTGCCTTTGTGAGCAGCCTAACTGTGATGATTTACAAGGTCTGGGCAAGAGGAACTCCAGTGAAGTCTCTAGTTGATTGCCGGCAATGATAACTATCGTCATCTGAACATGTTCCACACAATATAGGTTTGTGGGCTTGAGATTCAAGTTGATCTCTCCAAAAGTTGCAGCGCACGGTACATCTTACAAGGAGATACGAAGACGCTCTTGAATTCGATGCACGATCTACTCCGCTTTCATCATCGTGAATGGCTTTTTGTTTGTCCATGATAAGAGGCTAACAAGAAGCAGCAAGCAAAGAATTCTTGCCTTCCTTTTAGGGCAGCTGCAAAGATAAATTTATCATTTTTTCGTGTCCATAGTTAATGATTGTAATCTATTGAGAAGTCACTGAAAACGATTGTACATTTTGCTCTTCTTGTGATAATGCAGAATGAAAGCTTATTTTGGTTCATGTCTATTGTTTCAGTTAGTTGGGTAAGGATTGTTTGAGATGATGACTCAAGAGGCATCTGCAACTCATTTTAATTTTGGTTCAGCTACAAAGATCATTTCTTCTGGCAAAGCAGTGCCATGAACTTGTATACAAACATAAGATTGGAGAAGTTTGGTTCTTTGCCTACTCAATGAAAATTGGCTGATCTAATATAAATCCCCGTATTTTCTTTTATTCCCTCATAACTTCATATGAATTGGAACTCGCTCGCCAAAGTAAGGTACACAAATTGCCGATGATTTAAATGAGGAGGATAGTGCTTCAAATGATGTCTGACATGCCAAGTTTATTTCAATAAACAGCTATAAGTTTAAAAAATATTTAAGGATGTTTGTAAGTTTTAAGGATAATGAATTTCTTTCCTCGGGGCATACGTTGCCACATTTATTGTAATGAAAGTATTCTTTTTTTTTTAATTGAGAAAGTGACCACTTTGTTGTGAATTTTTTCCATTTGAATTTTTTATAAAAAAAGAAAATTTATTTTTTTAATAAAATTGTTTACACGATAACTTTAACATTGTTGTCAAAATTTAAATTAAAAAAGTTGCAAAAATTATTTTTTTCAATTTTAAACAAATAAAATTAAAAAACTTAAATTAATCAACCAAATGGGCTTTGCAAATGTGTTTTCCAAGCAAAAAGCATTTATCTCAAAGTTGCTTCTCAAAGCACATTTTCCCAAACAGTTGTTGCATTTTCCCAAAACCCTTTAGGCTAAACTGCTTTGTGTTTTCCCAAAACCCATTGGGAAAGCTGAACTAAACGTAACCTTTCTCCTTTGGGGCACTTTTCACGGGCCTTAGTGTCACGGTCCGACTTTTCCCAATTCCATGAATGCGTGGAAGTGAACTCCATAATACTAGGAGAAGCATGAGGGATGTGATATGAATGATACAATTGGGTTATCAGAGTGGTGTCAAGAGTTTATGTTAGGAATCTATTGACGAAATGAATATCACGTGGAAGATGTCCGCAGGCAAGGTTGGCTACATGTGCACAAACTGGTCGGAGGCTGATGCCGCTCTTTTAGATAATGTGAAGAATGAAACAATCCGACTATTCGCCATTCCATGAAAAAGCATGGAAGTCAACTTTGTAATACACGGAGAAGAATAAGGGGTGAGATATGGATGACACAACTTAATCGTGGGAGTGGTGTTAGGGACTTTGTGCTAGAAACCTACCAATGAAAGGAATGTCATGCAAAATATGTCCGAAGGCGAGACTAACCACCCATGCATAAACTGATTGGGAGTTTATGTCACTCTCTTGATGATGGCCATGCCAGACCAAAACCAATTGTTACGTTGAATCGAGATGCATGCTCCGCTTAAGACACGAGATGCCTGAGTGAAAAGGAGACGTGGTACGGTCGATGACAATGAAGCATTCCATAATACAAGCTATGGGAATGTTCCTTAGAAGTGAAGGCTGGCTTGAAGAATCGGCTCACTAGGTGCCGCACGGTCCCATGATCAATACCAATCGGCCCAGACCATGACACCCGGCTCCGGAGGGGAAGCGCTACATGTCCCTCCAATTATTCGAATCATATGGAATTGGATTTCACATATTGATTCCCTTGCTTGAAATCGTTCCTTTCATGACTTCCTTTCATATTAATTGTTTTGTTTTGAATTCATAAACAGTCTTCTTTTCTTTGTTTTTCTCTCTCTTCTTTGTTTGAACATCACATTCCATACTTAAAAAAAAATCCATTCAATGCTAAATAAGAAATTTTCTAACTTTGAATTTCGTCTTAGCATTCAAATATAACTTAAACAACAAATAAAGATTTAATAATTCGTATTTGATTTAAAATGTAGATTATTTATTGTTTATGGAGTCTTATTTCCACTTTCAAATCCTCATAATATGAAATATTTGATCTCTCATAAAGAGCCGAGCCATGGCTGTAAAGAAAATTCTTACCTGTTGTAAGAATTCTTTCTAACATTCTTTGCTCATTCTCCGAAACTCGTAACACATAATCGTTCCATTTTAATTGCCCAGGATCATCATTCAAAGTATCTATTTTTCATAGTTGTACAATTTTACAAGAAAGGTTTTTATCCTCCGTGCAAGTCCTCCGCAGCATAATAGTTCATCCAAAATAGACTCTATATAGGAACTTCTCCCAAACAAGAATATCAAAAAGTTATCATTTAGACTCAATGTCGCAAGTTGTTTTTCTTTTACGACATAGGTTGTCGTCTTTGGCGCTTGTCGAATGCCACTGTTTCGTGTACTATGATTTTACATTGGGTATGAATCTATGACTCGAGTCTACCTCTAGCTTGGACACAGAAGTTACACTTTGGACAAAAACTCCAAGAATAAAAGGTCCCAAAATGAAATGAGATAACTAAGGATACAACATTATGTTCTAGTTCTCTCAACCAAAACCTAAAATGTCTTTAATTGCTATTTGTTTAGGCAAATTGAAAGCATCAGTTGTTCTTCTTCTGTGTATATCAGTAACCTGCCCAACACTAGAGCCATTTGTTTGTGGCTCTCTCCTTGTAAGAACACTCCTAAGCATTAGACAGTATCCTTGTTTTTTTCATTCCAAACTCAATTGCAAGGGAACAAATCCCTTAATTAGGACAGGGCAAAATTCTCCTAATACAAATAAAGACTGTAATGAAATGCATATAGGCTCTGCCTCTTGAGATGTGGATACAGGAACACCCTCATCACTAGAGCCACCCAATGCGGAGTCATATCAAGAAGGCTATACGTGGAGGAACAACTCGATCATCTCATATTGACAGAACAACAGTCAGCAGAGTGCATCAGAGTTGCGAGAATTTCCAAGCTCCAAGAGCAAAAAGCGCGAAGACCACACAATGCACATGAAGACATCAAAAACTAACTCTGTAGACATACATATGTATGTATATATCTGACGGACATGCTGTCTGAAATAACATGATATAGGATCAATCACATGAGTCCCCCTAAGCAATTGTTCTGCCGAAAATTGGCCAACAAATAATCAAGCTAAAACACAATTTTCCATACTTACGTGAACAATTGCCTCATAGTCTATTTGAAACCTTAAAGTTTTAACAGAATTGAGCCTTCAAATTTGACCAAGCAGTGGTTGATCTAGACATCCTTTCTTCGGCTTTTCTCTTCTTTTCCTCAGCCTCTGCTACTTTCTTCTGCTCATCTTTATAGCCCGACTTCGCTTCTTCGGACTCAACCAGCAAGACCTCCCAGTCTGAGAGAAGCTTGTCCCTCCTACGCTTCACTTCCTCCTCTTCCTTGATGAGGTCATCCATTAACTGCTTATACAAGATGTGAGTCTCGTGGCACTTCTTCATAGCAGAGAACCTTTGATCCTTTTGTAGTTTATGCAGCTCAAACTCAGCATTGTCCTGCTCAAATGTTAAGAAGTCGGAAGTGAAATCATTGAAATTGGCCTGAAATGTCTCAATTGCTATTTTTTGCTGTGACGATAATCCGGTTCTGGCTGAGCTTAAAGTTGATAATGCCTCAGATAGCCTCTCTTTCATATTCAATTTAAAGAGATCCGAAAGGCATTCCTTCAAAGACTGCTTAGCCTTAGCAACTTCTTCTAAGCTAGGAATTTCAGCCCTCAAGGCCCCATCTTGGTGGCACAAACTTGATCCCACACTATCACCATTAGTCTCAGCAGCGTTGATGAGTTTCTCAAGACCAGTAAAATAGGAGTCAAAGTTATCAGTTGGACTAGCTGGCTGAATGTTCACCGGAGGAGAAACTGTCAAGACGCAAACTTCGGCTTTAACCACCAAACTGTCATTTGCTAGGAATCCCCAAGTAGGATCATGGAGCGTAGTCAATGGAATGAAATTTTTGAAACCCCAGTCACTCCGTTTCGTAGTGAAATAATGTTGCCTCTCTGCAGAATTCAGCAGATAGGGTGACGAATTCAAAAACTTCTTTATATCACCAGAGCATGGTATGTGGAAGAAATATTGGAGACCATCAAGAACTGGAATTTTGTATTGTACATCAAGCAAAACATTAGCAATAGAAGAAGCAAACACCTCCCCAGGATAAACTGACAATGCACAACATTTTTAAGACCACCAGATGTAGCTATCTTAAACTTAAACTCTGGCTCCTCTCTTTTTTCTGGATCATATAGGCGCAGTTACGCTCCAACTCTTCCATCCCTGGTCCAGTAGCTTAGTACTTAAATTGCTAAATTCCTTAATCAGTAAACCTCAGGATTGTTGTACGTGCATGTTAGAAAGAAGCTCACTCGCCTTTGAGAGGTTTAACAAATGGAATACAGAAAACGTATTCTCTCAACTCAATGTCTCTCCTTCTATTTCTTCTCACGTAATCTTCTCATCTAAACTCTTAGTTTTCTTCAAGTCATAAGTCGAATTTCTCAAAATCTAGATGCACGATCACTCAGAGAGAATCCTATCACACACTCAGATCATAAGCGAGAGATTCCAAGAAAAACCAATCCAAATTCAAGAGCAAACCCTTTCTAATAGAGAGAACATCATTGATCTGATCGATCACACTCAAGCTGAACTTGGCTTTTCTGGTCCACCCGTCCGGCAATGTCGCAGAATCAGGAATATCGAGGTACAGCGACAAATGGTCCGTGTTATTCCCCTTGGGGTATACAACAATCATCCTGCACAAAAAGGATCGGACGATGAAAGAATCACTTGGCAACACGATGAACAGGCGACCATCAAGAAACAACCGCAAAAAGAAACAAAACAATATTGAAGTACCATTCACAACCAGAAACTGTGAATGCTTCCGAGTAAAGCTTGTTGGCATCTTGCTCACTGAAGTAGCTGATCTTCCACGTGAATTCTCCCCGGTTAACATCATTTTGTTCGTCCATTTCTTTCTTTTTATTGGGCTGCTGCTTCTGCAAGATCAACTTTCGCAAACAACACGGATGTTTCTTTTTATCGAACGTTGTTGACTCTTCGTCTTCGAGGTGATGATCTGTTCGAAGTGTCGGGCTTTTTAAGAAAAAGTGGGAATGGGGGAAAGCAAAAGAGAAAAACAGTAGAAAGCTTCCCCGTGAAGTTAGAGAGGAAAACCCAGGAGTTGTTTATTCAGGTTCAGAGGGAAAAAGCATATCATTCACACTTTTTGGTTGGCACATTGTAAGCCAATGAGTTACTATCTCTCAGTCTCGCAAATACTATTTGGACGTAACAGTTTCTAACACAACAAGAACGAACATGATACAAAATTAATGGATTTGGATTGAGGCTAATTGTGTTCAGGTCAATTTCACGTCTCCCCGCAAGACACGATTAATAATGGCGTCGTGTTCTTGTCCAAGCCGCCAGACATGAATTTGACACATATTACTCGTTAATTAAGGAGCTAGTATTATTATGACCTGTACGACGGTTTAGACGATAAAAGATTGCTCTTTTCATGCCCTTCACTATTAACATTTTATAATGATGATATCTCATCGACTATGGTCGTGTTTTTTTAATGTGGTTTGATGATGTTTTGGTGGCTGATTATTGCAATTTGTTGATGGATATTAAAAAACAAATTTAAGGATATTTCGTGTGTCAAGTTCGTGTTTGCAGGTTTGGTTTCGTATGGCAACAGGTCATGCAATCATGTTGACTCGTTAACTCAATATTTAATCGTGTTGCCCGGGCCGTGTCATGTTAACCCGTTATTTTTTCGAGTCATGTTCATGTTAAATAGATCAACATGATAACTAATCGTGTCGTATTTGAGTTGCCCTATTTTATAGTATACCTTATGTTGACATGACACGAGCACAAGTTGTGAACACGAATTGCCACCCTAGTTCTAGTAACATTCCTTTTCCACTTGTTTTCTTTTTGTATGATATTTCTACGGCATTCCGTTTGTTTCGGTTTTGATGCAATGAATAACAGTGCTTTATTAGTGCAATATTTGTACTTTCATATATAATACATGTAGGTTCGCTTTATAGTGTTAACTACCTTTCATGCTTCGGCATTAGGAAGTCGTTCTCGTGTGAAGGGCACTTATCAAAGGGTCAAGCAACCGGTCTATTTGCCAAGGATGAAACATGAGGTGGTGGAATATGTTCAGGCCTGGAATGCGTGCCCAAGGAATACGGGGGAACAAACTCCTTACCCTAGACTCTTGCAACCTGACATTCCTATTGGGGCGTGGACTCGTGTCAGTATCAATTTCATTGAAATTGTTAAAATATGCTTCGAATTTGAGTACGTATATAAGACCAGATCGTTGTTTGCCACACAAGCGAAGCAATAAATACCGACTAGAAGCATGCACATTAAATACTTTGGTGTCAGCACGCGGAACAATAAATGAAAAGAGAGGAAAACGGTGGATGTCTTTGTTTGTTCTTCTTAAGATTAATACTATGAAAAATCCCAAAATTGTACATCTATGATAAATTTACTCTAAATTAAGTTTTTGACCACCATAAATTCAAATCGGTACACCTATGACAAATTTATCTTTCGTCAATTTTCATAAAATTTTGTCATCAAATTGCTGAGTTTGATAACACGGGGCAATTGATGGGTGTACCAGTTTGAGGTTTTACCTTCCATTTATCATAGGTGTACCGGCTTGTGATTTTTCGTGGTATTAATCCAATTTAATGAAAATTAACGGAGGGTAAATTTTTCACAAGTGTACCAGTTTAGAGTTTTTTGTGATCAAAAAAATTAATTTTGAGTAAATTTATTAAAGGTGTACCAATTTGAGATTTTTTATGGTAAAAAATTCAGTTTATGGTAAATTTACCATAAATATACCAGTTTGGAGTTTTTTGTGGTATTAACCTTACTTCTTATCGTCATTTAATGCTGTTATAGTCCCTGCATACCCATGCTTGGCCATGTGAATGTGCTGGAAGAAAGAAGAAAATGAGCAGCTTCTTTGGCTTCGTTCTCTTAAGAAAGGAGAACAATGATGGCTCATTATTAGCCACCATTGCTGCATTTGACCGAGAAGGAAAAGAAATGAAGAGCCAAGAAGAGCTCTTTGGCCTCGTTTGATTCAGTTTTTTCAAGGGGCTTTTGGCCTCCAAAGCCCTTTGAGGAAAGCCTACGAAGGAAATGCTGGAGCATTTGGCAAGTGGTCTCAATGGGCTTTTAGCCGAAATCTAGCATTGGGAATGCTAAAATTAATTTTTTCCTTCCCAAATTGCCTTCACTAATTCTTTAATATTTCGGTTTTGCCCCTCATTGTTATTGTTTATCTTCTTTGCGCAAGTACAGTCGACAAGTGTAAAATATGGGTTATAAAATCAAAAGGTCAAAATGTCTTATCTTGATAGCCCGACCTCACTTTTTCAGACTCGACCAGCAAGATCTCCCAGTCTGAGAGAAGCTTGTTCCTCCTAGACTTCACTTCCGCCATCTTTCTCTTGAGCTCTTCCTCTTCCTTGACGAGATCATCCATTAACTGCTTATACAGGATGTGAGTCTCATAGCACTTCATCATAGCAGAGAATCTTTGATCCTTCTGTAGTTTATGCAGCTCAAACACCGCATTTTCTTGCTCAAATGTTATGAAGTCAGAAGTGAAATCAATGAAATTGGCCTGAAATGTCTCAATTGCTATTTGTTGCTCCGACAATGATCCATTTCTGGCTAAGCTTAATTTTAATTGCCCAGGATCATCATTCAAAGCATCTCCTTTTCCTAGTTGTACCACTTTACAAGCATATGTTAAAATAAATTCTCATCCTCCTCGCAAGTCCTCCACAAAAGTTCATTCAAAGTAGACTCCATATTTGAACTTTTACCCAAACTGAATATGAATTTATGACTCGAGTCTACCTCTAGCTTGGACGCAAAAGTTTACTTCGGAAAAAACTGTAAGAATAAAAGGCCCCATAGAACAACAGTGTGTTGCAGGTCATTTCATTATGTTCTACGGATATAACATTGTGTTCTGGTAATGTCTAAATTGTATTTCATTGCTATTTGTTTGGACAAATTGAAAGCATCAATTAGTTTTCTTCTGTTACTACCAATATGCTCGACACTAGAGCCTCGTGTTTGTGGCTCTCTCCTTGTAAGAACGCTCCTCACCATTAGACAGTATCCTTGTCTTTTTCATTCCGAGCTCAATTGCAAGGGGACAAATCCCTCACTTAGGACAGGGTAAACTCTCCTAATACAAATCCCCAAGACTAATGAAAATCTATAGGCTCTACCTCATGAGATGTTGATACAGGAACACCATTATCACTGGAGCCACCCAATGCAGAGTCAAGCGGAAGAAGGTTTTACATGGAGGAACAACTTGATCTTCACATATTGACAGAACAACAGTTAGGAAAGTGAATCACAATTGTGAGAATTTCCAAGCTCCAAGAGAAAAAAGCGCAAGGACTAGGCAATTTATATCAAGACATAAAAAACTAATGCTATTGACATCTGTGTGTATTTATATATATGACCAACATGCTGACTAAACTAACATGATACAGGATCAACCACATAAGCCCCTCTTGAGCAATTGTTCTGCCAAAAATTGGCCAAAATATAGTCAAGCAAAGCACAGTTTTCAAACTTTAAGTGAAGAATTGCCTCACAGCCTATTTGAAACCTTAAAGTTTTAACAGAATTGAGCCTTCAAATTTGACCAAGCAGTGGCTGATCTAGACATTCTTTCCTCAGCTATTCTCTTCTTTTCCTCAGCCTCCGCTACTTTCTTCTGCTCATCTTTATAGCCCGACCTCGCTTCTTCGGACTCAACCAGCAAGATCTCCCAGTCTGAGAGGAGCTTGTTCCTCCTAGATTTCACTTCCTCCATCTTTCTTTTTAGGTCTTCCTCTTCCGTGTCGAGGTCATACATTAACTGCTTATACAAGATGTGAGTCTCATGGCTCTTTTTCATAGCAGAGAACCTTTGATCCTTTTGTAGTTTATGCAGCTCAAACTCAGCATTGTCCTGCTCAAATGTTAAGAAGTCGGAAGTGAAATCACTGAAATTGGCCTGAAATGTCTCAATTGCTATTCGTTGCTCCGGCGATAATCCAGTTCTGGCTAAGCTTAAAGTTGATAGTGCCTCAGATAGCCTCTCTTTCATATTCAATTTAAAGAGATCCGAAAGGCATTCCTTCAAAGACTGCTTAGCCTTCTCAACTTCTTCTAAGCTAGGAATTTCAGCCGTCAAAGAACCATCTTGGTGGCACAAACTTGATCCTACTCTAACACCATCGGTCTCAGCAGCATCGATGAATTCCTCCAGCCCAGTAAAATAGGAGTCAAAGTTATCGGTTGGTCTAGCTGGCTGAATATTCACTGGAGGAGTAACTCTTAAGACGCAAACTTCGGCCTTAATCACCAAAGTGTCATTTGCTAGGTATCCCGCAGTACGATTACAAAGCTCAGTCAATGGAATGAAACTTGAGTGACCCCAGTGACTCTCGCTCGCAGTGAAAACATGTTGCCACTCTGCAGAATTCAGGGGATAGGGTGACGAATTCAAGAACTTCTTTACAACACCAGAGCATGGTATGTGGAAGAAATATTTCATCAAGAACAAGAATTTTGTACTGTACGCCAAAGAAAACATTAGCAACAGAAGAAGCAAACACCTCCCCAGGATCAGCTTAAACAACCAAATTCATACAAAAGTGGATAAACTGACAATGCACACCATTTTTAAGACCACCAGATGTAACTATCTTAAACTTAAACTGTGGCTCCTCTCTATTTTCTGGACCAACATTTGGATCGTGTATCGGTGCAGTCAAGCTCCAACTCCTCCATCCCTGGTCCAGTTGCGTACTAACTTAAATGATTCCTCAATCAGTAACCTCGGGATTGTTCTAGGCGCATGTTAGAAGCTCACCTGCCTTTGAGAGGTTTAACAAATGGAATACAGAATCTCTCTCTCAGCTCAATATCCCTCAGTCTACTTCTTCTCACCTATTCTTTTCTCATCTAAACTCTTCTTCTTCAAGTCATAACACCGATTTCTCAGAATCTAGCACAATCAATCAGAGAAAAACCTATCACACACTTACGGTCGTTTTTAGGAATTTTTGGTCCATAACTATCCCGTGGATGACGAAAACATTTTTGGTTCATTTATTTTTGTAAGCCACACTAGACATCGTATTTAGAAATTTATTTTCAAAATCATTCATTTTCTGCGAAACGAGCTCCCAATTAGTTTAGAAAGAAGAGACTCCAACAAAAATCAATCCAATTCAAGAACAAACCCTTTCTAACAGAGCGAGCATTATCGAATTGATCGATCACCCTCAAGCTGAACTTGGCTTTTCTGGTCCACCCGTTCGGCAACGTCGCAGAATCAGGGACTTCGAGGTACAGCGGCAGATTTTTCGTGACACCCCCCTTGGGGTATACAACAATTCTCCTGCTCAAGAAGGATAGGCCGACGCAAAGGGTCACTTGGCAACACCATGCACGACGCGATCATCAAGAAACAAACCCAAGAAAAGAAAGAAAGAGAGAAAGAGAGAAAGAGAGAAAGGAAACAAACACAAATTTTGAAGTACCATTTACAACCAGAAACCGTGAATGCTCTAGAGCAAAGCTTCGTCGCATCCCGCTCACTGAAGTGGCTGATTTTCCACGTGAATTCTCCCCGGTTAACATCGTTTCGTCCATCCATTCCTCCCTTTGTATTGGGCTGCTGCTTCTGCAAGATCAACTTTCGCCAACCAACACGGAGGGTTTCTTCTTGGCCGACGCTCTGATTGCGAAGGAGGAGGATGAGGAGGAGAGTTTCTTACATTACAGAGGAGTTGGGAAATTACGAGGTACTGCTCCGCACGGGCACCCGCGCGTCGAACGATGTTGACCCTCCCCCCCCCTTCCCTCGACTTCAAGGCGAATGAAGTCTCGGGCTCTGATGGAAGGAAAGGAGATGAGAAAATTCAGAAGGAAAGAAGAGGAGAAAACTTCCCCGCGAAGGTAAAGAGGAAAAAGTTAGTAGTGTCATTGCCGGATTATTGCAATTTGTCAATAGACAGATAGAGATAATGACATAAATATTATCTAAATTTTAGCTCAAAAATTTGATTCAATATGTAATATGATTTCTGAACTTTTAATTTATTTAATATATTTCTTGAATTTTAACCTAATGTTCAATGGGGTCTCTGAACTTTTAATACGTTCAATGTAATTAATGAGCTTTTGGTACATATTCAAGATAATCCTTACATTTTAAATTAATAGAACGACTACATTAAATATTTTCATATAGTTCAGGGATTAAATTAAATATATATAAAAAATTTAGGGACGACATTGAACAAATTAAAAGTTCAGGGACTGCCATTGCACATTGAGTTAAAGTGCAGGGACCATATTGAACAAATTAAAAGTTCAGGAACTATATTGTATATTGGACTAACGCTCCGAGATTATTCGTGTCACATTCCCTAGATATTAAGAAAATCAGTAGTGGTGTTGACCATATTTTAATGACGAGACCATGTTTTATTTTGAAAAATTGATTTGACGATTTTTTGTCGATGGATTATTTCAATTTGTCTATAGATATTAAGAAAAATCGAGTTTATTTCATGTCGCGTTCGTGTTTGTGGGTTGATTTCGTGTCAGCAGGTTAATTTCGTCTCTAGTGAGTCGTGTAATCGCGTTAACTTGTTAACCCGATATTTAATCATGTTACACGGGACGTGTAGTGTCGACGTGTTAATTTTCGGATCGTGTTCGTGTCAAGTAGATCGACACGATTAAGTAATTAGATCATGTTCAAGTTGACGTGCTTTGTAGTATACGCTTTTGTTAATATGACACGATCCGTGAACACGAATTGCCACCACCTAGTTTTATTACCATTCCTATTCCACTTGCGTTTTTTGTTTTTTCAATGAAATTTTTACGGCATTCGCTTTATTTAGGTATGTATGCAATGAACATCAGTGCTTTATCATTGAAAATTCCTGTTAACTGCCTCACATGCTTCAGCATTCTGAGGTCATTCTGGTGTGGGGGACACTGATCAAGGGTCAAGCACCTGTTGTATTTTATTTTTATTTTTTTTTGAAAACTGAGAAACTGCATCAATTCAAACCAAGTTTGTTGACAATCAAATATAAAATATCCAACATAGATTGCAGGGGTAAAGCAACCAATTAGAAGGGAGTTAGCCATGGCCACCTCTAGTCAGCAAGACGATTTGCTTCTCTTGGACAATATTGTAGCCGAACGAAGCTAAGCCGGCCCAGTAGTGCCTTGCGTTCCTCGGGCGAAGCCCTGATATTCCATGGGCCCTCATCTTCGCTCATCAGACAGTTGACTAATAATTCTCTGTTATCGCTTTCTATAAGGTAGTTGGGAAATTTACCAAAATAGTTCTAAACTTATTGAAATTGTGCTAATTCTATCATAAACAATTTTTTTATCAATTGAGTTTTAAACCTTTTGTATTTGTTCCAATGCAGTCCATTCGGCCAATTTTGGCCGAAAATCGCTGAGATGGACGTCGACCGTCCTACGTGACATGATTGGCGTTGACATGGATAATTTTTAATAATATTTTTAAATATTTTTTTTAAAAAAATATTTATTTTTCCTTCTTTTTCTTTTCTTTCTCTTTTTTTTTCTTCCCTTCTTCTTCTTCCTCTAGGCAGTCGCCGGACCCCACCGACCGGCCAGAGACGAGGGCTGGCCTCGCCTAGCGATGAAAATGGAGTCTCTGAGGTCATGGGAAACCCTAAGCGCAAGGGGGATTTTGGGGATGCCGAGCTGGCGGTGAAGAAGCCGAGGGACACTGAGGACGCGGAAGAGAGAGAGGGATCTAGGATTGTTTTAGATCGAGGTGGATGCACCGAGGACAAGGAGTTGAGGTACGATATGGAGGACGCGTGCGTTCTGCTTATGGACACCTTGTCCATGCCGGACAAGGGGTCCGCCCTGGTGAGGCCCGACCTCGTCGGCCCAATGGGGAGCTGGCTAAAGGAAGAAGAAGAAGGGAAAACAAAATAAAAAATAAAATAAAATAAAGGAAAAATAAAAGAAATAAATAAATTGGAAAAAAAAATATTAAAAATTATTCATATTATCACCGGCCGTGCCATGTAGGACGACCGATGTCCATGTCGGCGATTTCTAATTAAAATTGGCCGGATGGACTGAATTGGCATAAATGTGAAAGGTTTATGACTTAATTGGTAAAAAAAAAGTTAAGTACTGAATTGATACAATTGTAATAGGTTTATGATTTTTTTTGGTAATTTTCTCCAAGTACTTCTACCACACAGAGAGCACCACGGTCAAAGGCTTCCTCCAAAAGTTGCAGGGCCCCCATGATAGCTAGGGTTTTACATGCCACTGACGATTCCGCCTGTACTGCACAATCCTACAACCCTCCTTCTTCGACCCATAGACGTTGATTTTAGGGACGCCTCTCGCCGGTGGATGCCAAATGGAAAGTAAGGCATTATGTTGCTTGACTTTCGTTTGTGTCTTGAGTTCCACCTCCAGAAACATGTAGTTTCTGTAATTGCAGAGTCAACAATTGAGCTTGGATTTGGCCGGCGTGATTGGAAGATGTGGGTGTTACTCTCCTACCAAATTAACCATAAAATGGCCCTCAGAACTTCATTTGGCTGCAATTTTGCGACCGAGTCGAAGTGTTACAAAACCCATTTGTCAATTCGAGTGATGGGTTGGTTTATCAGACCTAGTCGCGGATCCACCCAAATGGTTGCATTCCAGCTGTAGATCACGAGAATGTGTACGACTGTCTCAGACACCTGGTTGCACAGAGGACATATGGGATCAGGTACGATGTTTCTTTTGTGGAGGTTATCTCTGGTTGGTGGGTAAAGTATTTTGGCAAGCACTCCAAAGAAAATTTCGAATTTTAGGGAGGGCGTTTAGTTGCCATAACTTAAGTCCAAAAGGATCTAGGCATGTGGAAGGATGTAGATGCAGTGGCTATTTGCCGTTGAAGGCTTGGTTGGTTTAGCTTGTTATAGGCATTCTTAAACTGAGTAACTTCTGTTGACACTTAAATTTTGTCTAGTCATTTAGGGTTTAAGTGTAAAGAAAATTATGAGCTTATTTTTAACCCCTAAGTAAAAATATTTTCATTAAAATACATGGCACATAGATATTAGGCGCATTCGCATTAATAGAATTTAGCGGATCATATTTTCCTTTTATTTTATTTAAAAAGCATTATAAAAAAAAAAAAGAAAACAAAAAAGAGAGAAGACAAAAGGGGACCTTATCTTCCCCAGGCATGCTCCCCCTCTCTCGTCTCCAGTCACACTTTCACAAAAGAAGAAAAAGAAAGAAATGACACAAGAAATTGGTCTGCATATTTCTTCAAGAAAGAAACCAAAAAAGAGGGGAAGGCCATCTTCTTTCTCTCGGGGGGGGAATACACGTCCAGAAGGGGGGCTCCTGGGAAGAGGAGGAGAAGAAGGGAGTGGAGAGGAAGTAAAGGAAAAAAATGGAGAGAGACCGAGAGAGAGAGTTTGAGGGACATTGGAGAAGAGAGAGCTCCCTTTCTCTAGCCGGAGGTTTGCCCGAGCCACCGTTGAGCCTCCAGCCACCGCATTTCGCCCCGATCAGCTGCGAACCAGGTGGGTGTTAGCTTTTCTCCTCTATTTTTGCCTCCCCTCCCCTGCCTCTCGGGTGACGGGCACACCGAGTCCATTTGGTGATTGCTCGGCTCCACCAAAGGAGGATGACGCTTGTTTTACATTTAAAGAAGTATTCTTAAACGTTGTATGTCGAAGAGAACCCATGAATCTTGTCGAAAGCGGCCCCGAAACTCCATCTCTCAATCGCCTCCCGCGGGTTTGCTAAAATGCCTCAATGAAGCCCTATAAGCTAAAAATGCCGGATCTGTGTGTGTTGTTCTTTAACGTTCTATTGCAAACCGAGACCATTTTGTTGCAAAACATGACTGTTTAAAGCTTCACACATCACGTTTGAATCATAAACCGCTTTGAATCTTAGCCTAAAGCTCACGTTAAATCATGCGTATCACATGTTCGAAGAAATGCCCAATTGGGGTTCCGAGTCTGTTCTTGTGAAATTGACACCTCGAACTTTGTTGTGAGTGTGGATTATTCTTGTGTTGTTACTGACCTTATGTTTTCTTTGCCTTTCACGAGTTCCCTTTTTCTTGGAAAATCTTTCTTTCTCTTGGAATGTATGTTTTTGCAAACCATTTTCTTTTTTTCTTCATTCTTTTTTGAGACGAAATCTTCTTTTTTTAAGCTTATGGGTTTATTTTAAAAGGAAGTGTTAATACATCTATTTGAAAATCTGAATACTAGGCGCACTTGGCATTAGGGTATTTTACCTCTGCTACGGTGAATAGTCGTGGATTTTTTTTTTCTAGCAATATAGGGTCTCAATTCTATAAGGAGGATGTATTACTTGGTGTTTTGTTTCTCGGGCTCCATTCGTTTTGCGAAAAAATGTGATGTTTCTGGAAAATGTTTTTAAAAAAGCCATTTTCCTGGAAAATGTTATAATTTTCCGGTGTTCGGCTGAAATCTGAAAAATACCTGAAAAATATTTTCTGCCGTTTGGTGTAAGATTTTCCTCAATGTACTACTTTTAATAATATTTTATTTTTTTAAAATCATTTTTTAATTTTTTTTCTTTTTCTTTTTTCCTTTTCTTTCCTTTTTTTTTTCCCATTCTTCTCTAACCGATCGCCGGCGAGCTCAAGCCTCGCCACAAGCCAAGGTTGAGGTCAAGCCTTGCCCAGCTCGCTTGATCCGTCGGGGCTCCAATTCACTCGATCAGGGGATCAAGCGAGGCTCTACCTCACCATAGGCCGACGAGGCCAAGCCTTGACCGGCCGAGGA